TACTTTTAATTTTTTAATATTTTTGTTTGTCTATTTTCTTTTTTATGATATAAAAAATAAGTTTATTAAAATCAATGCGTGGATAATTTAAAAAGCCAGAGTGGGTCCATGTCTAACCCACGAGTCATAGATTTTGCCACCATTGGCCTGGAGAGTTTTACTGCAAGCAAGACTGACATTTATCAATGGAATTCACTGACCACGTGAAGTCTGTTTTATTTCCCAAAAAAACCGAAATTAAAGAAAGGATTTCTATAATGAACACAGAGGATGCACAAAAGCTTCAATGCCATTTCTACAACAGTGCTTTTACCATATTAGCAATATGTCATCGAGCATGGTCTCCTATCAAAGTCGACGTTTCTTGTTCAAGTGCATGTCTGCCAGGCAATGAGCAGGTTGTAATTGATGTTCAGGAAGCTTGAGGTAAGAAATCGATTTCCATACACATATGCTATTTTATGAAATTTATCTAATTTAACGTTCATTAATCGAGGATCTAATGGTAAATCCCGAATTAGATGGAAAAAATCGTAAAAGACTTAAACGCTTAACTTAAGGAAAGATAAAGATGATAACTACATTTTTTACATTTTTTTGCAGATAGTATTTTTATTCTAATTAAAACATTTCACTCTGTAAATCCATATAAACAATTTGAAAACAAAAGCAAGTTTCCTGCTTCGATTTTTACTTCACTGTTTTCATTTTTGTTTTCACTATGGCTTATAGTATTCAAGTAAAGAACATCAAATCTATTTATACATTTGAAGTTTTGTACATGTAATTCTGTACTAAAAATTATATTTCATTTAGGGAACACAATTTTTACTCCTATAATATATAATATCGTGTTAAATTTTGGATTTTTTTTCCTTCGGTAATTCTATACAATTTATATGAAAGGCGATATCGAACTGTCTGCCATATTTCTGTTAGTAAGAGTTACATATTTTTTAGTCAAATATTTTTATTAAATTTGGAACCTCATAATTTTCATCCTGTAGCATATCAGAGGTGAGGGAGTTTAGCTTTCGAGCAGTCAAGACGTATGTCAGTGTGCTCTGGACTTAAAATTTTTTGCCTAGGCCTAGTTTTAGGGTTAGCAGTCTACCTCCCATACTATAGTATAGGAGGTTAGGCCATAGGCTTATCTAGGGTGTTAGGCTTAGGTTTGCTAAGCCTAACTTTTCTGCCAACTTTAATTTCTAAAGTTCAGCATTTTGGGAGCCAGCCATCTTGCCATCCCCAACTACAGGGCCAGAGACAACAGGAACAGTAGCCATATTGGTGCNATTATGTTTTTCTAAACGAGGGAAACTGCTAAAAATCACTTCCTTCAATGGAAGATCGACATCCTTTTGTTTTCCCTTATCTCCTAAAAATCTTAGTCACCCTGGGAATTTTCAACCCCTCGATAAATCCCCTTTTTCCCTGTTCACGTGGAAAAATACGAAATGCTGATTGGTGAACATTCATCAGAAAAAGAAAGAATTTTGCGTTATTCGAGGAGTACGCCGAAAGATCCAGAAGAGGACAGACGTATCCCATATCATCTCCTGAAGGCCAATTGTGGGGTCCCAGACGAGGATTGAACTCGGGTAAACCATGAAATTTTTGCGCGACACAAAATGTAAACAACGAGACTCGGAATGGTTCGAGTATGTGTCAAACTATCTGTCAAGGTCTTAGCGGAAGACAAACTCTAACACGAGCGCTCATTAACAGGTAGATCTTTGACTCGCGTGTCTGTAAAATGTTGGCCGAGATAAAACTTTACGAACAAAGAAAAGGAAATTTTTGATAGATGAAAGATGAAAATGATCGTTAAATTCTTAGACGTCAAGAAATGATAAACAACGGACTGAGTTATGAGTGCAGGTGTTATTGTTTTATATACAGTCACCGAGCAGAGTCGACAAAGAGGTATCAGAGGAACACCTCGAATCGGACTTTTCCCGCGACCCGAAAAAGTTTCGTCTTGCGCCTGGAGACAAAGGAAAGACCAATCGGGAAGAGAGGAATGGGACGAGGGACCAATCCGAAATGCAAGCAGTGGGGGAAAAACTATAAAAATCGGAACTTCAAGATCGAAAAGAGAGTCTCCTCTGGATTAAGCCTTCCGTTGTGATTTAGATTGAACTTCGCTCAATGAGTTTGTCGTGTTGCTGATCGATTGTGCAGCTCCGGAAACTGATCACTTAATATACGCCAGGACGTTCTATCTGTTAGCAAATGCGTTTGAAGTGGACTGGTCCGATTTGCGCTTTAATAAGGGTGAAGAAATCGAGCTGGAGGAACTTAGTTGTGCACTCAAGAGTGCTACAGGTTGACAAGAATAATCGCTAATCACTGCATGCGTAGCTTCAGCCTTTCTATTATAAAATTGTAAAATCGCGGCCACTGATTATCAGAAATTATGATTTTATTTGTTATTTTGATACTTTTCTTTCTTTATAATGTTTTATGTACTTGATTTTCTTGTAATTAGAGACGATACGGCTTTAAAATAAACATATCAGGTCTCATTCCCCAATAGATTATCTCAACTTTCACCAATTGTTGTTGGTTCCTTTGTAATCCGATAGAAATTGACCGTGTTTCAAAGTTCTGTGTTAAGTGTTTATTGCTTTTGCGGTAATATGAGTAGAGCAGGACAGTCACTTAATAAACCGCCAAGTGTTTTATTACTGTTTAAACAACTGCTCCCCACTTGTTATTCTTAGTAACTAGAGACATCTGTCAAGGTCAGTTAAACTTCATTACCTTCAAAACAGGATATCAAGTGAGCTGCACCCACTCCCCACCGTTAATGACAACAACGCGCTAAGTGTCTTATTACTATGTAAACAAAAACTCCTTTCCTTGTTGGAAATGGGTCAGATGTCAAGGTTACTGTTTAATTTTACTGAACGGAATGTGATCAGTTCCGGAACTGCGCAATTGATCAGCAACACGACAAACTCATTGAGCGAAGCTGAGATGCGATTTTACTTGTCGGCCTTGATCGATAGTAATGATGGAAGGAACACTGAATCTGGAAATCCAATGAGAGATGAAACTGCGAGCGACTGTTTCAGTAGAGATGTCGTGGAGGGGAACAGCTTCCGGCCACCTCGTGAATCTATCTGTGCAGGTGACAAGGTCAAAATGCAGATGTAAAAACTGATTGGATGGAACGTCGTATCTCTGAAAAGGGTTTTTGGTGTGCCGAATCACTTTGGACCGTTTGCAGTTTATGCAGGAAGGGGTCCAGTTCGCAATGTTCTTCTGCATCGAAGGCCACACAAAACGTTTTTGGACTAGACGACTCGTGTCACGTATACATGGATGGACCAAATTGTGCATAGAAGAGAAGATTTGACAGCGAAATTGGGGAGATATGTATGGGAAACCTTGCTGTCCTTTGTGTCACATTACAGCTGTAGTGACATACTGATTCAAAGTGGCTGTAGCATGAGTGATGTGTTATCGTCTGTGAAGAGTGCGGTTAGCTCATCGTTATTTGCTTGAGCTTCCGCTATGGCGGTAAAGTCTGTCACCAGAAGTCGAATCTCGTTGATCCCAGGAAAGGGTGTCTGCCACAATGTTGTTCGAGCCAGTGACATATCTGATGTTGATTCTGAACTGCGCAATGTAATCGAGATGTCGCAGTTGACATGGAGAGCAAGTTTCTGCTTTTTGGTGGAAAGTGAAAATGAGAGGACGATGGTCTGTATAGATGACGAAGTTTCGACCTTCTATGGTATGGCGGAAGCGTTTGATTGCGGAGTATGTAGCTAACAGCTCCCTATCGTAATTACTGTACTTTATATCAGTAGGTCTTACCTTCTGCGAAAAGAAGGCTAGTGGGTGAGTTCCTTCAGCAGTATGGGTTTAGAGTACAGTGTCGATGGCGGCATTAGATGTGTCTACCATTAAAAAGAGATTGTTCTATGACAAATAGTATGCAAGGGTTGTTGCATTTGAGAGGTCTGCTTTACATTGATTGAAGGACTTGAGAACAGATTCGTTGCAGGAGATAATGCAACTTTATCATTTTTCTTAAAATCCTTGAAAAACTCGAGTAGTGGGGCTTGAATTTGGGCTGTGTATGGCAAAAAAGTCTATAAAAATTGACTATGGCTAAGAAGCTCTGTCGCTTCTTAGCCATGGTTCGAACATAAAATTCTAATATTGGTTCGATTATAGAACGATTGTAAACGTTCCAGAAACGCTGAAAATAGTTCGTTTGACTAAACGTAAAAATTTTCTAATTAGTCTGGAAACGGGGGACCTAATTCTTGCATTCTGTGAAAACGGGTAAGATTAGCTATGATGTAATGGCTAATAATGGCTATAGTAATGGCTATAATGTAAGTATCTTAATCTTCAATATCGTTACTTTTTGCCCAGCGAAGCGAGTCCTTGCAGCTAGTAATATATAATATCGTGTCAAATTATGGACCTTTTTCTTCGTCAATTGTATACATTTTATATGAAAGGCGAGTAGGGTTTATCGAACTGTCTGCCATATAATCATAGTATTTCTGTTAATAAGAGTTACATATTAATTAGTCACATATTTTAAACATTTTTATTAAATTTGGATTCGCATAATTTTCATTCTGTAGCATATCAGAAAAATACTAAAATAAAATACAAATATTGTGTATCCAACGCATCATTAACTGAATCATCTATGTTCAGAACATTTTAAATACGAACAAGAAATCGATAACAACAGTTTAATTTACATAAACATTAATGTGAAAAATGATCAACGTGATGAATAAATAAAATGAAATAAACAGCAAAAATAGTATTATCTAAAGTAGATTTAATAACAATAATCATAGTACATTTTATTCTCATTACTTTTATCTATAAAAATGTGAATTACAATGTATGAGTAAAGTTTAATAATACGTAGAATTATTTCGATACAGTTTTTAAATGCGCTTGTTTAGATTATATGAGATACGTCTATGTTTATATATATCTGTAAGAAAAATTATTCCAACGTTCAGCTTATTTCATATTTTACAACATACGTCTTTGCTCTACACACATTCTTCTACCTGATATTGGAGTCAATATAATGAACTAACAATTTTATCCTGAGGATCCAAAGAGTAAACTTTAAAATTACGAAGAACATTTGCCAAAACCATTTTCATTGTAATCATGGCACCTTTACTTCCTATAAATAAATTATTGTAATAAAATAATTCTTTTGTTTTTGTATTTATTCAGTAATCACTTACCGGGACAATTTCGTAATCCGGCAGAAAATGCCAGAAATGCATAAGGATGAAGATTTGTATACTTTTCAGGTAAGAAACGGTCTGGATCGAACACTTCGGGATTTTCGTAAACAGAAGGATTATGATGGATGCCATAGATATTTATGACAAAAGTCGAATTTGCAGGCAACACGTAATTACCTATTTTAATGACAACGATTTAATGCTTCAAGTCAATAACAATTATAAATATAAATATTGTTATCGAAAAACACATTCCAAAATATCAAAAATTACTTATTTTCATTTCCGAAGGATTTTTTCTTGCAATAAAAGGTACAAGAGTATAGATTCTCATCGACTCCTGAAAATTGTAATGTATTCCTTGAATGTATTAAAGAAATTGAGGAGTTACCTTAATTACGCATTCTAAGTACGTCATTTTCGTCAGGTCATCGATAGTGATATCTCTTTTTATATCATTTTTAAAAATTTCTTTCAATTCTAAATACACTGTCTCTTGTATTACGTGGAATCTTCCCAGGAAATAAAGAGTCCATGACGTAACGTGAGCGGTTGTATCGTAACCCTGATATTAAAATACGTTGAAAAGGAATGTAACATTTCTTTCTATGTAATTTACATTTGCAATAAAATAACTAGTGTATAATAAACGGGTAAAATTAGGATAAGGCATGCACGAATACCGCACTTTAAGGTCTAACTTCAACAAATTTGAAAAAAATAACGATTTAATATTTAAGTTTTCTAAAATCTCCAAGAAGAGTCCAGATTCTCGCACACGAATACCGCGCTTTTTTCATATTCCTGTCAGATCAGTTTACAATGCACAATCACATTGCTTGCAGCAAGCAGTTGACATAATTCTTCATTTACGACAAAATATCAATAACCCGATTTTGGAAGTGTACTGTTTCCTCTAATAACAAAATAGTCTGAAACTCTAAAAAAGCGCCAGTTTCATCTGCCGTAAGTTTTTTGGTGATAAAATAAAGGAGAAAAAAATGCGTCATTTCACTTCTTCCGAAACACAGGCATTTATGGATGAAGCCAAAAATAATAATACTAGTAAAAGGGAAAATGGTTCCACTGTTACTTCTCGTGGAAAACGTAATTATTGGAGATTAGGCCTAATTCAAAAAAAGTAAAGTGTTAGTAATGGACTGTACAGTACATAGCAGAAGAGATGAAAATTCGACGTAAACGAAGAGAGATTACAAAAAAGTTATTAAAATTTTTAAATAATACATTATAACAATTCTGTTTATAATTTTAACACGGTTAACAGAATAGAATGCGATATATGTACGCCTTTGCAAACGATGTTTCTGTTCTTCAATGAAACTAAAAATTCTTTTTTTCCACGTTCGATATTATCAGATTAATTCTATGAACAAAATGTCTTCGATCGATGGACGAAATAAACGTTAAATTGTCCACAAACTGTGTAATTAGTCGAAAGAAAAAGCTAAATGCACATTGTCCAGTTTGAATTGCCTTAAGTTGAACAACATATTACATGTCTTAATATAACGACGTATAATTACATTTTCGGTTATTTTGTTATTATGGACTTGAATTATTTTAATTATACCTTTATTGAATTATATAATTATTTTCGATTATACCTTTAATAAATTAAATAAATTTTGACTACCGCAAAAATAGCGCCTCCCATATCTCTGATAACGTCTTCTTCCGATATTAAGCCTTGTATGACATGAAGATCCAACAGGGAATCGATAAGACATTGTTTTGCTTTCCGCTTTGGTTTTTTTTCATTACCTGATTCCTTGACTAAGGAATGTTGCTGATGTATTTTTTTCACAAAATTTTCTTTTTTTCTCTTGAACACCTTGGCATTAAACTAAATCGTTAATTACTTAAATAAAAACAAAGCTTCTATTCACAAGTTGAGTTTACCTTCTCGTCGAAACGATGAATTATTTCAGCGTCCCTTTTATAATTTTTTCCTACTTTACTCATGAAGAAAATTGGGAAAAACCAGTACATTGGATTTAATAGCCATTCAGGAAAATATTTCAGAATTCTAAATTTTAATACAAATTATTAATACATAAAAAGGAAATTTATTTTAAGATAATTACATTATAGCTAATCTTACCCGTTTTCACAGAATGCAAGAATTAGGTCCCCCATTTCCAGACTAATTAGAGAATTTTTACGTTTAGTCAAACGAACTATTTTCAACGTTTCTGAAACGTTTACAATCGTTCTATAATCGAACCAATATTCGAATTTTATGTTCGAATTTAATTCGAACAAAACATTCGAAATAGAAAGCCACTTTCAACCACTTTCAGCCTCATATCTCCCGCACCCTTATAGCTATCGAGATGCAACCACCCCTATGCACGAATGGAGACTTGGGGNAATATAAGGGCTAAAATTAAAAATAAAATTATAAAAACTTGTTAAAATAAAATGTGTGATGATATACAATTATACATACCTGGTACAAAATATTCAATTGTATGAATATACTTTTAAAGAAAATTATAAACATAGTTTTGTGAAGAAACGTACATAAAAATAACAAAATAGTCTTTACTTTTTAAATATTAAAACAATCCACCTAGTTAAAATTGCTCCCTACCAGTGGCTAACGAACGGGATCAGAGACAGTCTTGGTAGGTGTGCGGTGCTGTGCATGCTTGCCAAATCCCGAGGGTGCCGATACCAGTTAATTTCTCTTTTGTCTCATCACTAGCAGTGGCGTACCGTGGGTGTCAGCCACCCGGGGCGGAGGAAAATTTCGCTCCCCCTTATTTAGGTATTTCAATTTAAAAGACTAAAATTCATTTTTGTCACAGAACAAGCAATGAAATTACGTGCTAGTGCAACGAACTGTTTAAAATAGTTCTTTTGAATATTAGTGGTGTATATGAACACGAATGAATCGTAAAGGCAAAAAAAGGGGGCTACAGGTTTTGCAAAATTTCCTCGGATTAAAAATTACTAGTTCACCAGGACGGCGAGCCGACAGTCCGGACGATATCACTATCGTAGGCTCGATGCAAGTATAGATTAGGATGTTTCAAATTTTTACAAGATAATATTATTATTTATTGTGAAATTTTGTTGCCCCCTAAAAACTGCCGCCCGGCGCGGGCCGCCCCTGCCGCCCCCACTACGGTACGCCACTGATCACTAGTATATCTCAAAGGACGCGACAGGGTTGTTGTAAATTTTAAACGTTTCTCATCATAGCTGTAAAAATCTAAATTTGTTAAACTTAAAAGTTATTTGTTTTCTAACTACTGTAATTCGTTTTAAGACCAGGTGTCCACGAAAATTTCCAAAATTTACAACTTTTAGTCACTTTCATTGAATTTGAAAAATTTCTGTTTTTATTACATCTAATATTACGAAGAAATCAGTCCCACTGTACTCGGCTAGATATTGGTCCGGTTAGGCTTTTGTTTAAGTAAAATTCCGGCTCTTTTATTTCTTAAGATAGACTCGAAAATTTGATATTTTTTGTAAATAGTCTGACCNAAAATTTCTGTTTTTATTACATCTAATATTACGAAGAAATCAGTCCCACTGTACTCGGCTAGATATTGGTCCGGTTAGGCTTTTGTTTAAGTAAAATTCCGGCTCTTTTATTTCTTAAGATAGACTCGAAAATTTGATATTTTTTGTAAATAGTCTGACCTTCAATTATGAAGAAATATATCCTGAGTAATTACAGAAATTGTATCCATATGCAAATTAAGTAAAAATAACTCGTAACTACCACCAGAGGGCCTGAAGCAGTTAAAAAAATAGATAAGGACAATATGGTGAGAAGAATTCTTCGTGTTTTTAATGTAAAGTGTCAGAATCTATAACAGAAAGCTGACACTTGATCGTTTTTAACATTGTAAACTTTTTTTACTAATTGTTTACCTTTGTTTTAAGAAGTATATTCTTAAAAAAAAAA